TCCTGTAAGTCTACTTTAACATGTAAAAATTCCTTTAGAAATTTCCTTTACCTCTAAACACCACAAGATCCATGTTGGCAATCATCCCCCAAGCATGTGACCCACCAATATACATCTGAAGGGTATATGACTCAGGTCTTATTAGACGGTAATAAATGACATGTTCCCAACAACAGCTAACCCCTCAAGGTCCTGGAAACCTCGCTTCCAAAATTCCTTAGAGACTTATGCTATCCCTAACCCCCTCCCAACTTCAAAGTACATAATGGGCCTCTCCTCATGACCCGGGTGCAGTTCTTTCTGCCCATGGGTCCTGTTCCTGTGCTTCAGTAAAATCACCTTTTGCACCAAAGATGTCTCAAGAATTCTTTGACCAACGGCTTTGAACCCAAAGGTCTTTCCTACATCATTTGGAATTTCGTGTTTGTGTGGATTCCCATACATACGAAGTTAGTTTTTTTTCTGTTAATCTGCATCATATAAATGTCTTTCGTACTTCAGCTAGAAGGTCTTGAAAAGCAGGAATTTCTTCCTTCTCATCAACCTTTAGCTCCAGTAAAAAATGAAAAAACAAAAAAAAAGAAAAAAAACATTACCATGAGGTAATTAAAAAACATTAAAAAAATATTACCATGAGGTAAGAGAATCTACTATTATACACTGTCAGTTGAGCACCTATATACAACAGAGCATGCATATTGACTCTTGAATCAATAAACACAGGAAACTAGCTGGTGTGGCATTGTTTCAACGTAGTTTCTAAAGGCAGCTTAGTATGCTTTAAGAGAAACCAGTTTTAGTGACTAGTCAATGACAGGACGTAATTATTTAACTTTGGCTCAAGTTTTTAATTAGGAATTTTATGTTTGCTGTTTTTCAAAGCCAACTAATATAAACCATACATAAGACTGACTCAACAATACAGCTCCCTATATTATGTATGTATAGAGAAAACTTAAGAAAAAGGTCCAATTTAAATAAATTTCTACTCAGGATTTTTCATTCTCTGGATTAAAAATAAATTTAACTACTCCCTGAGAATTGTGTTCCTATGAAAACTTTAAGGGGATAGGCTTTCAGCTCTGGTTATGAATTTTCATTCAGCGTTTACTCAGACTTGTTCCACAGTGGAGGAGAAATTTTTTCTTTTGGGTTATTACTCTCATTCCCACATAACTTCTATTACCATAACGACAACATCTTGTCAAGAAATCTTCCTGGAGTTCAAAGCCCCCAGATCAGAGTATCACAGATGCTATTTTCTGTGCCCCCACTGTTAAAATAGGCAAGAATGCTGGGAAATTTGTATTCTTCTTGTTCAACCTTCATGATCCTACATCACTGGTGAATGAAAACATCTTCATAACAGTAAAATCTTCACCCATACAAGGATGGCAATGGTTCCTTTCAAAAATATTTTTATCCTATTTGTGGTTAAGTTTTTCAAATTAACTCATCTTTCAAGTATTCCTATTGCTGATCTTCATGGAAATTTACTCATGGAAAATAATCCTTCCTCCTTTTAAGATTAGTTTGTATTTTTTTAACAACTATTTGAGAGAGAGTGAGAGCTCAAGCACAAGCAGGGGGAAGGGGCAGAGAGAGAGGGAGAAGCAGACTCCTGGCTGAGCAGGGAGCCTGAGCCAGGGATGGATCCCAGGACCCTAAGATCATGACCTGAGCCAAAGGCAGATGCTTAACTGACTGAGCCACCCAGGTGCCCTTAGTCTGTATTTTTAAGAATCATTAGATGTTAAACATTTGGAGCTACTTGTGATTTGTTCAGTTTTCATTTCAGTCCAAAATTTGGGTTTGCTTTTTCCTTTTGTCCCTTTTTACCATTTCAGTATCATAAGGTAGATTTTTAATTTAGTAAACCTTTATACTCCAGCAGTATGTAAATTTTCCCTTATGCTTTTCCTTAAAAAAAAATGTAATTTTCCAGTAGCTTTCCAAACTCAATTTGGCAGGCTTATCAAAGCTTTTAGACGCTCAGCTTCCTAAACTAAATGAATATTTTTATTCCTATTCATGATTTTCACCTAATTTTATTGATAACTCCATGTTTATAGGAGTATATACGAAGTCTTTGAGTTACATTTTCAAATAGTCCAAGATAGAGTTAATGAGTAATTCCAAAGATAAAAATCTGTTTATCAATATTTTTGTTTACCAATATTTTTAAATCTACGAGCACTTATTTCATTATATCTTAATATTCTGTAAAGTTAACTGGTTCAAGTTTTGATCTAGGTGGAAAACTGGTTTCATTACCATTATTCCCACTCTGGTCATTTGCTGCTTTAATCTAGTTAAGAAAATAGATGCTTAATTTATTTATTAAACTTTTGTATCCTCCTATATCTAATTTTTCTTTTAAATAACACCACTCCTTTAGGACTTTAGAGTAATGAGGCAAACGCATTCTTTTGTAGCCCTTTTGGAGATTTAGTAAACATTTTATACATTTATGTTTACAAACAACAACACATTAATTGGCATAGTATGCCCAACTGGAAAATAGGCACAGCTTCCTGTGCAGAAGTAACATACTGCTTTATATTGTATGCATTTATATTCAGACACAAAAGGAAATTTTAGGGAAACAGTGCAATTCACCTTCCATAGAAATTTGATTTCCTGTTTTTTCTTTTGCTTTCACTTTTTTAACCCACTAATAAAATTAGACAAGAAATCTCATTTCATGGAAATTTTTACTCCAAAAATTTTAACAATGCAGACATTACATTCAAGCAACTTATCTAGTTTTCATCAATTAACATTAGCAATCATGAAATTACTTTGAATACTTTTATCTTATCCATCTTATCCAAAAATTAATGGAGGGCAAGTTAACATATGCCTTTCCCCATTAAAGTAACATTTTTCTTTTATTAGTTCTACAGTAACAGAAAAAAGTAGTTAAATTTCCTCTTTGACAAAAAATTGGTACAGAACTTGTTTTTAGTATCTGCTATGGTCTCCTCTTTCAGATCAGTTTCCCCCACAACCTCCTCCAGAAGCCCCACAACTTGAGCTACCATATGATTCACAAGAAGGGTACACCTTATCCATAGAGGGTGGGAACCCTCCTTCTTGTCTGCCACCATGCTCACGACTTATGTAGAGATCACTCCGGCTGCTTGAGTAACTTTCCCGACCTCCACCATATCCATCACGTGTGCTGCTATAATCATCATAGCAACTGCTTCCACCGTAACTCAGAGGGGGCCCACGTGCAGGCTGTGCACCACGGGAGCTACCTGTAAGGTCAATGATCAAGTAAAAAAACTAACTACATTACAATTTTTGTGGCATCGTTACTCCATGAACCTAATTTAAGTACTGTATTTGGAAGAAATATGTTTTTATTAACTTAAAAGGAAATGTAAATGTAACATGCATGTTTTATGTTAAATAATTTGAAGTAAATGTGCTGTCGGTTTCTGAAAATGGGCTGAAATCCTAACCTTCATATTTTTCTTATGTTTCATACTATTAAACACTCTCCCTTGTTAGTTAAAAATGTTAAAATGTTTTTGATGAGATGCCAGTTTGATGAGACTGCCAATTTACCATTAAAAGTGACCTGTTAGTTTAAATGAACTATTAAAAAAGTAATTCAAAGATCTTCAAACTAATAAGAGCCCATACTGTGGTTTTGCTTTTAGAATTAGAAGTAACATTATATACTAAACAATCTGGCTTATAAAATCTAATTGCATGAGTTTTAAGTAACAACTGAACTTTTTTTTATTTTTTTATTAAAGATTTTATTTATTTATTTGAGAGAGAGAGAATGAGAGACAGAGAGCATGAGAGGGAAGAGGGTCAGAGGGAGAAGCAGACCCCCCGCTGAGC